AGAGGGTAGCAACGGCCGGAGAACAAGCGGAGGCGGCCGAAGAAAATGTCCAGCTGGACGCGTAATTATTGGAAAAGCCAATCCGATTTAATACTCTGGCAATACGTTGCACGGGATTGCGAGACTTGGTCGAACGACTCGCTTAGCTGGATCGCGATAACGCTCGATCGAACTTCCGCGACAACTACCACGGGCTCCCCCGTTCGATTTTACAGCATTTTCCAAATCTCGCCGGTTACCGGAAGCTTTCGAACGTCGCGACGCTCCTCGATCGTTCGCGACGTACTCGAGTGCGGCCGCGAAGCGAGAAAATAGACGAAGGAACTCGAGACTCGCAACCGATGCGACCGTCCTTCGACCGATTCTGGGACCAACGGCCGTGACATTCGATTATCGAGAAGCATCGGGACGGCTGGCGCGGACCGACTAGCCGCACCCGTATTCTCTCTGCTCGGGAACGGCCCCTTTTATCGGCCGAACGCTGGAAAAACGCGATTCAGCCTGCTTAAATACATGTTCGCGCTTTCCTTTGGGTTCGTCCTGCGACCAATGAACGCGATACAAAGAGACTAGACTTTCGAAGGCAGCAAGTTGGCGCGCCATCCGTACGGAGGTCTCCCCTGAAAGTAACTCGAATCGTTGACGTCGTTACGTCGCGGCCCAGCCGGCCGCAACGAAATTCCTTCTTGGCCGCGTTATTACTTAAAAGTTTCTTCTTAGCGGTCGTTGCCCTGCATTCGGAATCGAGGCGACGTCGCGGACCTCCGCGGCGAGAATTCGAAATGAACATCGGTGACGAATGGAACATCTGTTCCAGAGAAGCTCGTCGGGAAAACACGTCCGCGGCCATCGCGGATCGATCCGTTCGCGTTCGCGAGGGAACCGATAACGACGCGTTCCTCTCGAAAATTCAAACGAGAACAAACGGAGGAGAAATCGAGCTCTGTAATCAGACCTAGACCGTCTCCAACTTTCGAGCGAAAGAAAACATTGCTCCTGGAAACGTCTTCCAATTTCATCAGCGAACGACTCGTCTCGCGTAACCGAGAAGCACCGATGATTCCGATCCAACGGAAATCGATCAGGAAAAACAGAGGAATCTTTGCTCTTCGGAAGAAACGCTTCGAGAACTGCTCCTTTCCGTTCACCGACCAAGTCCGACAAGTCCAGCTACAAACGACCGTTTCAACGTTCGACTCGAGGGAGGAGTTTTGGCTCCGAAGCAAGCGGTTGCGCTTCGCGAACCCTCGCCAGCGCTCGATTCGCCTTGTCCGCCGTTATCGTTCCGTCGCACAAAGGGGGTGCGAGCGCACAGACCCATTGCGGCTGTCTCCCGCGAGATCCGCTGCACGGAACATTAAGTCGTTTGTTCCAGGTTCTCGTGGCACTCGAACCTGTCGCCTCGCGTCGCCTCGCCTCGCGCCGCCTCGCATTATCATCGGCTATTATTCTCCCCGTAATAGGTCAACGGAGAACGCTCGCCGAAAGAATCTCGATACGAGCTGGAATACCTAATTTCCGAAACGTCAGATCGGTGTCGCATCCAAGGGGAATCGTGGAAAGTTTATTACTCTACCGAAACGCAAAATTTCGGTTGTATATCGGCTAAAGTAAGAAAGAATCGTTTGAAAAGCTTTCTCGTCTGGTCGAACGTTTCCGTCGGATTCGAAAATTGCGCCCTCCGGCGAACTGGAAGCGACATCTATGACGAACGCGGCGAAGCCATTGGAGGAACGTTACCGACGATCGATAACCCGAGAAGAGACTCGCGATCCTAAAGTCGGCTGCATCAAACAATAACACATCTGGTACAGAATTGATTCTTTATTGCGATAACGATTTGTTGTCCCTCTTATCGGTTGCGCACACGTTCCTGTTCACCCTCGAAGGAAGTAAGAAGAGAAAAGAAAATGAACAAGTTGCGTTTCTCGTAAGAACATTAGACAAAGAATATAAAATTTGAGGAAAATCGATGTCTTATGTATTACACCTTACATTGGTCGCTAAAATGTTTTCGAGCCTCGCGAGACACGTATGTTGCAACGCACAAAGAATACCAACATTCGCTCCTCATTCGAATTCTGTTACTCCAACTACTACTCGCAATCGCTCGTTACTCCGTTACTACGCTCTCTCTCTCTCTCTCTCTCTCTCTCTGGTCTATATATGCATCGAAAGTCTCTAATTCCCGTTGGACGCGCGTCCGCGTAAAACTTACCATTCCTGTGTATCACGGAGAAAGTATTTACTTACTCGAGGTTACTTAAATTTCGTTCCCCTCGGCGAACGGTGTGCTCTTCGACGACCCTTAGATATCTCCGCGAGAGCGAAACGCACAACGCACTTCGATCAACCAATTTCTCGATCGTTTTATTTCCCTTTTCCATTATTAAAATACAAATTGATTCGGATTCCAATCGAAATGATCGCATCTCGAGAAATTGCATCGTTGAAACCGTGTAATCCTTCACCCATAAACGGTTAGCGCTAAAATGTTGCCTCTTACCGAAATACTCGCATGCGCGCGATCATGTTTTTTCTCCTCTGAATGTTGCGAGACTCTCTCGGAATCGTAGGTGAAATGAAATGGTAAAACGCATCGGTGAAATTATAGCAGCGTCGATCGTTGCGAACTATTCGCGATATGGATGTCGAGTACAACGCAAGAACTGAGCCAAAAACGTCTAACAGTACATTTACATAGGACGAATCGTATGAAAATCTTTATCCAAAAACTGTACAAGCATGCGCGCGTCTACGCGTTAATACACGTTCACATTTTTAACAGTCTACATAATATTGGTCTACCGATTAATTTCTACACCTCTATCGAGAGCTAGACTGCTTTAGTATAAAAACAAAACGAGAACGGAAAGGAACGAAGAAAGAACGAAAATAAAAGAGAAACAAATTGAACGATGTTCCATGAAAATCTCGGACTTGTAGAATAAGAGAGGAAATAGTCGTTTTCACCTAATCAACAACACACAATTGTTTAGCCTTTACAAACAAGAATGAATACAATTTAAATTGCAAGTATGTCGTAAAAATTCTAACATCGAACATCGTAGGCGCATTTCGATTTACGGATGATAATCGTTTGGATGATTATGGATAAGATCGAATAAGTTCAACACACTGATTCTCTCCTACGACGGGATTGGACTTTCTAACGACGAAGAACGTCGTAAAAGTTCATCCGTTTGATTCGTTAGGGAAAAACACGTCTGGGGCTATGCTTCATAAATGTATATCTTATGTAAGATGGTGCTCGCACTGACACACGCCACGTTCCCATTCTTCGCGCTGCTACTGGAGATAATATCAATTGCCACACACGAAGCTTAACCTTAACTATATACACGCGTATCGCATTTGATTTTAATCTCTTGTCGAAGCTTTAGTAGTGTCCTTTCAATGTTATCGA